CTTCCCTCATTACCAGGATCATGCCTTGGCCCTTGGTCCCGGGGTCCTTTGGGCACATGCAAAAATTAAAAGGCAAAGCATTGAAGGGGTTAAAAAAACCTCTTTTTTTTTTTTTTAAATATATTATTTTTTTTGCAGAGTTATCATGTTTTTGGGTTCAAATGGCGAACTCTTGGGACTTACCACCGAATTTATTGAAGCCACCACGCTCACCACCGCTGAGGAGATAAATTGGAAGATAATGAGGTTTTTTTTATCCCCTGCCTAAAAACAATAGTGGGGGGGAGGGAGGGAGGGAAGGAAGCAGTTTTGGGGCAAAACCCAGCGTTTTTGGGAGCTGTTTCCTCCTTTTTTTTCCCCCCCTCTCCTTTTTGGGGGGAAAAGATCCAGGGGGGGGAATCTCCATCCGCCGGCGACGGTTCATCTCGGACGCAGCAGCCGGGAAGGGGAGGGTTGTTTGGGGGAAGGGATCCAAAAAATGGTTTAAAAAACAGAAAAAAACCCAAAAATAACCAAAAAACCCCAATTTCGTCTTGTTTCGGGGTAAAAAATGGGGGATTTCCCCCATGATTTTCAGCAGAGCCCCCCCAGCGGGAGCGTCTCCCCCCTCCCCTCCTCGCTTCGCCCCTCCCATCCGAGTCCTGTAGCTTTTTTTGGGGAGGATTGACCCCTTTTACATCTTTTCGCCTTTTTTTTTGAAATTTTTTGCACTTTTCACCCTTTCTGCCTTTTTTTTTTTTTTAAAAACCCCCAAAGAGCGGAGAATTGCGCAAGTTTTTTTTTCCTTTTTTTTTAAATTTTTTTCTGTTTTCCCCCTTTTTTTTTTTTTTTTTTTTTAAAAACCCCCAAAGAGCGGAGAATTGCGCAAGTTTCGCTGCCTTTCCCACCTGCAGCACACAAAACGCAGAGTTTGTTAACAGGCACAACACAAACGCAGAAAAAAAAAAAGAAGAAAAAAAGAAAAAAAATAAAAAAAAATAATAAAAAGAGAAAGCCCCCGCGCCTCGCTCGCCCCCGCCGCCCCTTACTCACCTCCCGCCGCCCCAAAAAGCGGCTTTTCCGGCCCAAAAACGCAGCGGGGGGTGGGGGGGGGCGACAAGGCACAAACCCAACACCTCAGATTATTATTATCATTCATT